GCTATAATAATTGTTCAATTCCATGTGAACGTACTTGAAAAACACATTATAAAACTGAGTATTTGCCGTTTAAAGGACCTATGTAGTGGAATTGTGTTATTATTTTGTTTTCTAACACTATCACGAAATAATGTAATATGATTATTATAGCTACGTGCCATTAGATGTAAAAAAAACAAAACAATTACAGAATGGTAATATTGTTTGGCTTAGAACAAAGCGACATTGGGCTATCTGTTATGTCTATTGCGGGGAATCGAAACTTGGATTTTAGTGTTGCAATTCCCTAAACTTACCGTTGTATCACCGGGAGACATGGTAAGTTTAGAAAATTATTTACAAAAAACAAACATAATTAAAATAAGCGAAAAATAATATTTAGAAATACCTCACAAATCTGGAGTTTTGGAGAAACAGGAACTTTCTTAAAGCCCATATACTTTTTGGAATTGAAAAGAAAGTTATAGAGGTAACGCAAGCAGCAAAATTCTTTAAAAAAAGAAGAAAAAACACTTTTGAAAAATTTATATCATGACAGCACAGGCACAGATGTTAATTTTATAACCTTAATTCACTTTTAATTTACGCCTAGCGTGACATGGTGATTAGCGTACCAGACTGTGAGTTTGAGGTTCCATGGTTCACGTTTCTTTGCTGTAAAAAGCATGTCCCGCTCTTTAGAGCATTGGGTGCATAACAAGAGTGACTATCAAATCCCACTATATGATTAGAATAGCCCAGAAGTTGGTGAGGGGTGCTATTGACTAGCTGCTTTTCCTTCTCGACTATGATATATCTCTCGTGGCTTTGTGAAACAGTTTTATATTTTGTAATGACCTTGATAAATATATTCAATTATCAAAATAAAACGAAATATGTATAGAGCTTATAAAATTAGAAAAAATTAAGTATAAGCCGTTTTAAAATTATTTTAATTAATATAAGCGAATTAATTCCTTTCACCACAATACAATTTAGTTATGGAAGTAAAATCGTCTTTTTTAAAAGCAAATAAAAAAATAAAACAAAGGCAGGCTCCATAAATCAAACTTAAAAGGAAATTCAATAGATTCCTTAAACTTAGCTTTCACATTTTAATAAACTCTGCAATCTTTCACCTACTTTTTTCTGCTTGTACTTGATTGCTAGTTTGAGTCGACTGAGATTCATCCGATCACCATGTTCAAATGCAGGACCGCTGGGGTCGTAATTTAATAGAACTTCAAGTTCGTACGTAGTTCTTGTGTGGTCCAATAAAGCTGTGGCAAAATTTTGACACCGTCGTCTCAATTCCTGAAATGAATTGATGATAAAATAATAAGAAGCTATTTCATTTTACTATCTGCATACATTTAACGGATTTTATACAGATAAAATCATATTTGCTATAATTTTGAATATCTAAGCCTAATTTATAATGATAAAAATATATTTTACAGGGATAGTTTAAATCAATTTCATTTGTTGAAAGTACTTAAACAAGTGTTTTCACTTGGATTTGGATTAAGTATTTAATGCATTGTACAAGAGAAGGGTTACTACTGTGATATATAAGGACAAAACGACAGCATCAGATTTAAACCAAGGTTAAATTTTCCTTAATAATGATAATAAATAAATAAAGTACGCCATTACGCAAATAATTTTATTAATATTGGTAGATTTAGTAATACAAATTTAGTTTCAGAAGTTTGTTTGTTTGTTTTTGAATTTTGCGCAAAGCTACACGAGGGCTATCTGTGCTAGCAGTGTAAGACTAGAGGGAAGGCAGCTAGTCATCACCACGCACCGCCAACTGTTGGGCTACTCTTTTACCAACGAATAGTGTGATTGACCGTCACATTATAACGCCTCCACGGCTGAAAGGGCGAGCATGTTTGGTGGGACGGGGATTTCAACCCGCGACCCTCAGATTACGAGTCGAGTGCCCTAACCACCTGGCCATGCCGGGCCAGTTTCAGAAGTACTTTCATGAGCTAATTGGAGTTAAGCTCAACAGAAAATAATTTGTTATTTTATGTAACACATATTCCCGGCTTTAAATTCATTTTTACTTTTCGAGATAAAACGAACTACAACTATTACTCTTATTATGCTATAAGTTTACTGTCAGGATATGTTTTGAAGTAGGTCAGCATAAAACTGTTGATCAGATCATAATGAGATGTTTGATAAAAGTAATCTTCACAATGCCCAGTAAATGATCAGAAACGCAGCTTTCTTGTCTTTTGGATAACTGTGACAAAGAGCAAGTATGACGAGCTTTCAGTACACCTAACTGGTATTTTTAAATTAGATGCTCAGGTATTACAAAAATGCCTTAATTACATGAAATTTTCGTTAAGAAACATATTGTTAAAGAAATCAGCGTTTTGAAAAAAAAAGGAACACGACTAAATGAACGCAGATAGTTTATTAATATTGAAATATAACCAGGTAATCTTAAAACCTAAAAACTTTTAAAAAACAACGATTATTTTATACACAATTCAATAAAAATGAGATTATTTCCAGTCTCCAAATTATTAAAATAATAACTGATTGTACAAGGTAAAAAAAGTGGTAAAAACCCGATGTGACTGGAAAACAATCTCATACACTCTACATGTTGCGACGTATATCTTGCGTCATCCTCAGGAGTGTAATATAATGTTTTGCAAAAAAATAACACTTATTTATATAACTGAAAAAATAATCAGGTAATGTTTAATGGACCACCAAACGCTAACAACGAAAAATTAGGCTTTATAAAACTGATGCTTATACGAAGTCATACGATATTAAAGTGTCTCGCAACTTTGTAGTCAAAATGACTGGAAACGTATTGCCTTTCAAAAATGACAACTTGTAAACCGGCGCCTATATAATGATAATAATATTCTAACCCTAATATATTATTGATCACTTTTTAAACCTGTGTATTTTTATTATGACAGTGTCTTGAATTTGCAACAATGATACTATGTTCTAATTACATTTTATCATAAGAATTATTCTTGATTTGAAGTGAAAAGTAAAGCAAAATTCTTTTAACATTACTGGAAAATTAGTAATCTTTCATACAAATATTAGATACATGTTTATGAATGAGTTTTTACTGAGTAGTAAAGTTTGTCTTTGTTTCGGATAGTTATAAACTAAAGAGATATCTTTTTATCACTACGGATATCCAAAATGTGGTTAAACAATGACGAAAGCATGAAAAAAAGAGGAAAAGGATATGTTTAACAATTTAATGAAAATCTATTTTTTTTCATGTTTTTTTAACTGGTTTGGGAAGACATTAAGAATTCTTTACAAGTTACTGCGTATAACTCTGAAAGCAATTTACTTCTAAGTGAGAAGAAATAGCTAGGAATGTATTTATATCTTTTGACTATTTATGCCATTTGATGCTTTTATTGCAAGCATCACATGTAAGGCAAGATACAATATATCATCACTAACTACTTCTACAAGTTACCTTAATTGATAGGTTATGAAACAAACGTTTCTGTAATAGATTATCGAAAATAATCGAAGAATATTCACACACTTATACAATGTATTTTAAGTAGAACATATAAAAGAATGAGATATCTGTTTCTTAATGACATTTTGGATCATATTAAAATTTTGATAAGAGATATACCGAGCAGGGATAATAAAGACAGATGTAAAGTGTTTCGTGAGTTTCCACGAAAAAGGCGATGCAAGCAGCTTCTGACTAGATATTATTATATGGTTGAAACGTTTGAAGGCAACATACCAATTAGTAGTTTATTGATTTTTCATTATTAAAAACGCAAACGGGCACTAAAATTATAAACTAATTGTACCTCCTACGTTATTTATTGAAACTCTTCGAAATTGAACAAGTAAGTAAATAAATGTAAATACTAAAACATTTGAATTAATTGTAATAACTTGTATTTGTTTACTTTTTGCTACTTTGTCTTAGTTAGAATTAGAAATTCTATGCACGAGAAACATATTTTTTATTTTATTTGAAAAAGCTAAGTGCTGTTGATATTTTCGTAATATATATTAATTGTAGTACATTATATAAAAAAATACCAAGTGTATGTTGCTTAGCATTGTATGTTTCTAGCAATGTTTTTTCAGATATGTTTCTTTTGTTTTAAACTTTATAATATATATATTGTTTTACTATTTAAATTAAATCAGTTCTAGAGAGGGATATAAAAGCTTGTACTTGATTTACGCGAACAAGTATCGGACTGAAGAGTGGTATCATTCCATTGCGGTTCAATCTTGATATAAATATCTCAAGTGTATGGTTAAAATCTAATAATTTAATATTAAAGTAGTCAGCAAGGATAGAAATTTACAACTAAAATGTTATTTAAAACATTACAATTATAAACTTCATACTTATTAAAATGTTCATTACTTAATCAAAAATCTGATTAATATTTTTACGCTTCCAAAGTAAAAACATTTAGATAAATTAGACCGAATGCTTTATTCTAAAAAGTTGTAAATGTCTGTGCTCTGTGTTTTTCAGAAACATAGTATACTTCGAAGTATGCAACTTGTCAAAGAAGTTCCTGTCTCATTTTAGAACAGGTGACTTCACTGTTAATAGTAATAATTTAAATTATACTCTAGTTTTAATTTTACCTTGATTAACAGAAAATATGAGAAGAGGAAAGTCAAATTACAAAGATAACTACCTGGTACTCGGATTTAAATTCATGCTCCATGAAACTCAGTCGCCTTAATTCCCAACTTAATTCAAATGCAGTTAGTATAGGATCTTTGCTAGAAAGTGCAATCATAGACGGAGCGGCAAGAGCACGGTAGGCATTGATCCTAGATCTGGAGTGTCTTAAACTGTCTTCTAAACTGGACTCCATACATGTTTTGCAACCACATCGTGCGTCGTGAGGAACTGGAAATTTGGCACCTCTATCCAACAAAATTTTCAAAATTTCGTAATTGTCTCTATGAGCTGCCAAACACAAAGGCGTGATGTCAGGAGTGAAGGTAGCTGTATCTCTGTCAATAGCTTCCCAACTCTAAATAATAAAATGTAATCATAACATAGTTATAACACAGATATAAGAATGGCTAAAATACTTTTATAGAATACATATATGTGTATTATATATATATATAAAGTTCGGACAGTGGGTTGAATTTAAAGGTAATTCATGTTTGACGGATGTTCCAGATATTAAAAGTGACAAGTATGCTAGAAGAGCGTTAATCCAATAATTGAATAACTTATACATATGTATATATGTCATATTTTAATTTGAAAGTGAATATTTGCAACTTATTACCAGCTAATAGGGACACAAAGCAATTTGGATATGAGCATGATAACAATTTGTTCCTAACTTATTTGGGCCATTGTAGGTTGACGTGGACTAATAGTTAGCATGCCTAGCCTTTGAATTTTAGGGCTGGTGGTCCTCGTTTCGTTGTCGCAAAAAACAAGCTTGTACCTTGAGGATGAAGGTACATTTTATAAGTTTGTTTGTTATGAATTTCGCGCAAAGCTACACGAGGGCTATCTGCACTAGCCGTCCCTAATTTAG